GAAGAAAATCTAGAACCCCACCAAGTCAACCACACCATAAGTTTCTCCATCAAGTCACGGCACACTTGACCCCCCTGTAACTTCGTTGCGGATAAAGCACAAGAATGTTAATTCTTTCTTATTAATCATATAAGGACATACCTACTATAGCTAGGACATACCTATATATCTGGTAATTATATCTCATAATTTATGAATTATCGCTTGTCAAATTTCTTTAATTTCGACAGTGACTCACTGACAGATTGTCAAAATTCTAAAGACGAGGACAGACCTGACGAACGTTACTATTCGTTTGCATACGCGACGAAACGTTTCTTAAGGTGCGTTTAGACTTGAGCACGCACGCACTGATCCTTCGCGAATGCTCAAGGGTAAACGGCTGTGCGCGCATGCTCACTCTGAATCTGTCTGTGCGCGAGCCGTTTGGTGTCGGTTTTTGGTCGGCCCTCAAGGGCGTTTTATCGACCTCAAAGGCTGTTCGCACACAAGTGGATCACTCCATTCGTCAAAAAATTAGTTTTTAATTTTTAATTTAAACGGAGTCGAGAGCGCGAACGAATGCCGTGCGCATACGCTCAGCTCCTGCGTGCTCAAGTCCAAATGCCCCTTTAGGTGTGGACGTGCATTCGCAGCGAATGTACGTTACGATGAATAGTTTTGATTTTTAAATGACACCTTCGGTATTTTTTTACTTTATTCGATATAGAAAATGACGCTGTGAATTTAAGGGCACATCATATGTCAACTTTTGACATTTACGCTTAAAAAAATCGAATTTTAAATTTCAATCTAGAGTGCTATGGCTATATTGAACCTAATTTTTAATGAAGGATCATTGGAAAAAAAATAATTAAGTCTATTGTTTTTCGTGTGCCGTCCTAATCGATTGATGTCCAAATCGTATTTTTAACCATATCTCAATGTTTTCAAATGGAACGAGGGTGGCTCATTATCATATTTAGAAAAAAACATTTTTTTAAGAATAATTTAATTTTTTTTTAATTAAATTAACCGTATTTCGAGTCAAATTGTCGTTATGAACTGCATGTTACAATTTCCAGTTAAACCATATGCGAAAATGTAAAAAATTGATATATGATATGTCATTCTATTCAGAGTGTCATTTTCTATCAAATAAAGCAATAAAAATACCAAGGGTGTCATTAAAAAATCAAAAGGTGTAGGTAGTTATTTACGTTGAAACAGGACTGAATACAAATCAATTGAATACGTCTATCAATTCTGATTTATGTCATATACTACTTATGTATATACATATGCGTCCCAAATCTCGTTTTCCTATCCACCATGTAAGATGTAGACCACCTTAAAAAATAGTTCTTTAAGAATTGGATAAAGAATTACATAACTGAGAACCGTAAAAACAGTAGGTATGTGTAGTTGCAGCGGCAGCGGTTGCAGCATATTATAAAGTTTTAATATCTATACCACGGCACATAAAACAATCGGCACGCCAACTCTGCTCAGATTCCATTGTTTAAAATTTCTATAAAATTTGACCTTGTCGGCGCCATTATCGTTTCCTAGTCAGGGCCGGATTAAAACGTATCAAAAAATTTCTCAGAAAATACTACAGGGTCGTATTAAAAAAAACTGTAATTGACTGAAACTGAATTTTATTACAATACTTTTGTCCAAACAAATGAATCGTTAACCGCGCATACTTCTCGAAAAGTAAAAATGAAAAAATCAATTAAATGTTTCACTGTAGCGAATAGACAATTAAAATTAAAAACATGCAACTAACAAAAACATGCCAGGAGTTACAAACAAGAATTAAAGAAATACCAGTAAAATATTTATTGAACAATATAAAGAGGCTACGTACAAATTATACCCATCAATGGGCGTAGCAAATTTTATTAATATTCAAATTTCACAAATTAATAAATCCACAATTTTTTTTGAGAAACTTTTTTGAGAAACCAAACCAAAACAAAGTAGGTACCGCATTATATTTTATACGGTTACAAAGTGAATTGGTAAACATTTTAAAATCAAAGTGAACAGAACACAAGCTGTACCTTTTGTGGGCCTTATTTATATCTTCAATCAAGTCTTCTCTATTAGCTGCAATTGCCCATGTTCTTGCCCTAAAAATGTATTGTTAACTTATTTTCGATATACTCATTTTATTTATTTTTATAATTATATTTAAATGAATAATATAATGATTTTTAAATTTAATTTTTAATGTCTAGATTCTAGATACAACATTAAATTTTATTTTACTAAATATTTAACATTAAATCATACTACTATTAAAGTTTGTTAAGATTTTTAATTAGATCTTCCTATTTAGCTGAATGTCCTAATATGTATACTACTGTTTTTTTCACAACTAAAATATGTTAAAATAATTAATCACATATATACATACCTAATAGGATCTCTAGGAAACAGAAAGAAACTTTTATTGAACAACAAAAATAAAACTACTAAAACAAATTATATTACATAATAATAATAATAGCTCCCGTATATAGCGTTTGACGCCTTGGGAGTAGCAAGGTACAGCTTGCCATACTAGAGCCGTTCGGTATACAAAGGAAGGTAATGTGGCTAGCACTACGTTTCAACCGGCCTATTATTACCTCAGGATTGTGAATCCCAAGCACTCATTTAAGGCTGAGTCGACCTAGGTACCCAAACTATTTTTACTTTAATAAAAATTGTCGGCTGATGAAATGCCGGGTGTGGGATTCGAACCCACTACCTTGAGATTGGTAGACGAGAGCCTGTACCTCTACGCCACCGGGCACCTATTGGCAACTATATTACATAAGAAACGAAAATAAAACTAGAAAAACCAAATATATCACATAATAAACAAAAATAAAACAGCAAAATCAAAATATATCACTCAAGAAAAAATCAAAATAAATTAAGCCGCACGCTACTGACTCGAATCTGCCGTAACTGTATGTTGTCGCTGAAAAAACTACGACACTGGTTACTTTCTGTTGATGGAAACGCAAATGGCGGCGTGCGCGAGGATATGCGCGTAGCGTTCCCACCAAAGCGAGTTAGCCTGCCGTGTGATTTATATGCCGTGTCTATACTATGTGTTGCAGATGTTAAAAAAACTTGTGAATTTTATTATTCCGCAAAATAAAAAAGTTATGGGCAATTTTCAAAATGGTAAAAAAATCAAAAAGACCCCGTATTTCAGTTGGCAATGAAAATATCAACAGGCGGTTACGCCATTAAACGTGTCTGAGAAATCGAGCCCATGACATCAATGTCGGTTTTGCTCTATCTAGTCAGGAAATAGGTTTCCTCTGCTAAAACAGACCAATTTCGACCATCCTGTACATTGCTTTTCAGAAATAATTCTTGTGCTGACTTCTAAGCCAAAGAAACAAACTTTACTGAAAAATTTGATTGCTTCGTTTAATATATACAGGGGTATCAAAAAATGTTGGTTTATTTTAAATATTTATTTTACATAAAAACTTCGTTTTTTCAAATATAACAACCTGTATTTTTTTAAATATATCGAAGCAGATTCAAATGCTCTTTCAAACTATATTTGGGTTTCCTATACCTATCTAGCTCAGATTTTGAATAAAGAGCAATTTTTCAATAAAATGGCAACTAAGAGGGCTAGTGTCGTCATGGCGGTCAAGTTTCTAGTGACAGTTAATAGCTATTTTCAAATTCGAAATTAGTTTATGGACTTTATTTAAATTTATACCAATTTAATTTTATTTAATTTACCTACACTAGTTTAATAAATAATATTTATTAAATATGTATTTATTTTTCTATCAATAAAAATTAAGAAGTAGTTCTTTGACTTAGATGACTTGTAGATATCTGGATTTTCCAAAAGAGCCAACTACTTCCAACACAGGTTTCTGCTTAATATGTTTTTTATGAACTACATTACCAGACATTACCTACATACTCTGCGAAATAGGACAAGTAGTTTTTCAAAGGAATGCTTATCAGAAAGATTCCTATTTGGATATCTTCAAGGATTTGGATCTGATGCCCTTGAGGCCAAGAAGCAATTTTCCTCACAAAATAAAATCACTAGTAACATATCCATTCGTTCCGCCAGCAGGTACTGCTTTATTTTTCTTGATAAAATAGTAATAACTTTTATTAAATAAACTATTGTAGGCAAATTTAGGTAAACTGTTATAAATCTAAATAATAATGTCCGTAAACTTTTGTCGATTTTGAAAATAGTTACTAACTGTCACTAGAAAATTGCCATGGCAAAACCTTGGTTGATTGTCATTTTATTGAAAAATCGCTTTTTATTCAAAATCTGAGCTAGATAGATATAGGAGTCCCTAATATAGTTTGAAAGAGCATTTAAATCTGCTTCGATTTATTTAAAAAAATACAGTGTGTTGTATTTGAAACAACGAAGTTTTTATACAAAATAAATCTTTAAAATATTTCAGCAATTTTTAGTATCCCTGTATAAATTCAGGGAAGCAATAACATTTTTTAGTAAGGTTTATTTCTTTACCTTTAAACTCAGCACAAGAATTAATTCTGAAAAGTAATGTACAGGGTGTTAATAATCTATTCTATTGTAGCATGCATATTTAAATAACTTTAAATATCTCAAAAACCAAAGATTTTAAACATATTTAACCCTTATAATAAATGCCTTTTTTTGGGCACAAGAATCCAAAAATGAAATAAAATATCGGGTGTAAAAATATAAAATAATATAACTTTGGTATGGATCTTAGTTCTGAAACACCCTGTATATTTCAAAATAATTTTAAATTTTGCAAATTGCTTCTCCACGTATAGCCATAAAATATTTTGTTTCTACATCTTTCCGTTTTCGTATAATCAACCTGTACCCTGTATAGCCTTTTTTTCTTTTGAGCACATTTTCACAAGTAGGGTGAGCCATTTTTGTTCAAAAATGTGTGTGTGTGTGTTCACTGTCGATATTATTTTTTTAATTTTGGTAATATAGTTTCTGGTGAGGAAATTTTACTTACCAATATCGTACTTGATAGTCAGCATTCTCGTCAAATTTTCTGTCTAAAGCTTCGTACAAAGGTGCCGGATAGTCTAGTTCTTTGGGGTTTCTTTCCGGAGTTCTATAGTCGAAGGCTTGCAAGGTCACAAAGTCCACGTTTTGGCTGATTTGACGTGGATCAAAGTAAACTAAAAAATAAGAACGAAAATATATACGTATATAATATTAGCTAAAAGTAAGACACATGAGTAGAAATTGAGAATATGTATTTTTGGAATATTAATAATTTTTCATAAAATAGTATAACAGAAGAACATAACATAATAAAGAATTTCGGCTGTAGCCTGGGACCGTAAAATGAAAGAATTTAAGGACACAAATATTTATAAGTAAATTTTTAGTAAAAATTTTCAGTTGTTCATACTCGGTTCAGATTTTAAATTGAATAAAGTGAAATACATACACTCGTACGTGAGTGTTTTATAGTTTCAATAGCGTATATATAGGGTGCTACAAATTCGAGGTACGAGCATTGGTAACTCGGTAACCGTAATAGACACGAACATGGTTAAATTGGCGCAAAGTTGCGCTTTGGGATGTTCACGAAGATGCCATCAAAAAAGCTTTAAAAATTTCAAAGATTGTTGAGTTTTTTTGGAAAAAAAAGGATATTTTTGAAAATCAATTTTATTTTTTCCTGTCGATACTTTTTAGAAAATCAAAAAACAAATTGCACATTCTCATAGCCACTTTATTAGGGCTATATGATAGTATTTTTAGATTTTCAAATCAGCTGATAATTTGTGAGATACAGAGGCCAACTTAATTTTTTAAATACGGACCTGCATTTTTTATTTCAGATTTTGAAAGAACTCGCTCTCCTGAGTACAATGATATGCCACACTTAATTTTTTTTTGTTTTGGAAATTTGGATACAATTTATTTAAATTAATTTCAAGTCCGGCTCTGTTTTTTTTTAAATATTTAATATATTCATCGTTACAATATTGATAAGCTTTCAAACTTAACAGTGACGTGGGTTGAATACGGAAAATCAAATGCAATAAAATAATAAAAAATAATATAAATAAAATGTAATATAAACAATCAAATCATTTCCCCGGAAGATGGATTGGAAATGGTAGAGCATTATAATGGCCAGCGAGGTACCTGGACCGTCTGACGACGTCAAGTAATTCGACAGGTCCAAATTTTACAAAAAAAGTGAAATCAACACATCTTGGCAGTTCCAATAAAGAGGACAAAATGCATTCGAAAGTATAAGAAGATCTATTCAAAAGCTATAACTAAAATGGCTATGGGAATGTGCAATTAGATTTTTGATTTTCTAAAAAGTAACGACAGGAAAAAATAAAATTAGTTTTCAAAAAAATCCGTTATTTTTTAAAAACTCAGCAATCCTTGAAATTTGTAAAACTTTATTGATTGCATCTTGGTGAACAGCCCAAGGAGTAATTTTGCCCCAATTTAACCATCTTCGTATCTATTACGGTTTTCGAGATAGCAATGCTCGTACCTCGAATTTGTAGCACCCTGTATAGCGTGGGTCAAAATTTTTTTTCTCTTAATACTTAATACTGAAAAAAAGGTTGGTAGACACCTCAAAAAAATTCTCTCCAAGTATGAGCTCTTAATTTTAGTCCTCCGCCTTTCAGTTTTCTATTTTTTCCTTATTATTAAAAAGAAAAAATCATATTTCGCTATCTAGAATTTGGAAATATCTCTTCTCATATATTTGTAGGAAATTGAATTCTCTACAAAAAAGGTTTCTTACAATTTTTTCGCAAACTTCACCGTTCGAAAGTTATTAATGGCTGAAGTTTGATTATTTTAAGGCAGTTTTCATTTTCCTTATGAATTTTATACTCGTTAACAAAAAATCATTATTTGTTTTGTAGGAAATTCACTGCTCTACAAAAATGGCTTCTTATATAGTCGATTAAATTAACCGTTTAAAAGATATTCATCGTCAAACTTCATTGCACAATAATTTTAACAGCTTTTGATTAATAATTCAAATAATTCCAATCCAATAATTATATCTCAGTTGATAATTAAATAAAAAAATCTTTTTGATAAAAAATTGATTTTTTTTCTAGATCAATATGTTTTAATTATCATGATCATCGTGGTGATGGGGGTGTATTATGACGTTTTTTTTTCTTTTTAGCTCGTGCTATTTTTTGCTCTCCCGGAAAATCCGCTATAACAATCTGACTACCCTACTCTCATCACGGGATGAGAGCCTTACCAAAAGCCGGCGTCCCCTGTTATTGGACCACTCTGTATTTTATTCCATGAATTATTTAAAACCTACTCCTATAATTACTTTAAAAATAAAAACATAATACGCTTGATTGAGCTTGTTTTTTTATATTCTTACCTGTGCTGTTGACATTCGGCAGTACCGAAACAGATAAGAGAAGTCCATTGTGTCTGAACAAATTCTTGATTTCCCTAACTAAGGCGATGAATTGTTCTTTGTGCTCTTCAGCCTTTTCGTCTACAACCGATTCGCCGACAATCTTGTGCTTCAAGTTTGAGAACCATCCGGCTGTAAGATAAAATAAGAAAGATTTTATCGAGTTTCTTCCCTGGCTTCAATTGTAAAGAAATGTTTAATAAGATATTCTGTTGTAATGAACCGATATTTTTTACAAGTTATTATAAATCATAAATGAATAAGAACACTGTGCCAACTAAGTGAAAGTAGCCAAAAAACTTAAAAGTTGGCTATCACTCGAGAAGAATAAAAAAATCTCTGTATATTGTATCCTAAATGTTAATTAATAACATACTGCTATCATGTACAGGGTGGGTCGAATTCGTTTCATTTTAAATGGAAACACCCTTTTCTATAGGAGATAGACAAAAACTAATATCGGTGTCTGGAGCTCAATTTTTGTCAAAAACATCATGGTGAAAACCGCATATGTGTGTTTTTCTTTTTGTTAAAAATATGCATTTTTAACAAATCGCTGTAACTTTTTTGCTATGGAAAATTTTGTATTTTTATGAAAACGTGTCCAAAGCACCTTTTTACGTAGAATTTAATGGTTTAAGTATAATTTTTTTAAAATTAATAATTTAAGAATTATCAACAAAAAATTTGATTTTTTATATGGGGCATCCTGTATATTTTTGATTTATTGAAAAGTATTTAAAATTACCTTTCCAGAAATATAACACACTTGATATTTTGCTCGATTCCTCTTCAAGATATAGAGCATATAAAAATTCGCCCGGCTTTAAATAAGTAGGCTTTGAACGGCACTGGTTCTAATGCAAAAAAATTTTAGCTGTGAGCATTAATTAAAACGAAAGTAATATTTGCTATGAGAGATGCAGAATTTTATAACAATTTAAAATATATTTAACCAACGTCAACACATTTAAACTATATCTAATAACTATAAAAATTAATAGCAAACCAAGACATGAGATTTTGCTACAGGTGTTCGACATATCGACCGACTTCTGATCATCAAAAACATGATGGTATCATGTACAGGGTCGAATTCGTTTCATTTTAAATGGAAACACCCTTTCTATATAGGAGACAAGACAAAAACTTTTATCGGTGTTCTTTGACAGCTCACCGACTTGATCATCAAAAACATCATGGTGAGAACCGCATATCGATATCTGTTACCGTTTCGGAGTTACGGGGTTTTTCAAAATATGCATTTTAACAAATCGCTGTAACTTTTTTGCTATGGAAAATTTTGTATTTTTATGAAAACGTGTCCAAAGCACCTTTTACGTACAATTTAATGGTTTAAGTATAATTTTTTTTAAAATTAATAATTTAAGAATTATCAAACAGAAAATTTGATTTTTTATATGGGGCACCCTGTATATTTTTGATTTATTGAAAAGTATTTAAAATTACCTTTCCAAAAATATAACACACTTGATATTTTGCTCGATTCTTCTTCTTCAAGATATAGAGCATATAAAAATTCGCCCGCTTTTAAATAAGTAGGCTTTGAACGGCACTGGCTGTAATGCAAAAAATTCTAGCTGTGAACATTAATTAAAACAAAAGTAATATTTGCTATGAGAGATGCAGAATTTTATAACAATTTAAAATATATTTAACCAACGTCAACACATTTAAACTATATCTAATAACTATAAAAAATTAATAGCAAACCAAGACATGAGATTTTGCTACAGGTGTTCGACATATCGACCGACTTCTGTTATGGACAGACAGGGCAGTTTTTGAACATTTCTCGCGGAATTCATTAACTCAGTGGGAGTGAAAAATACCCTCTCATAAACTAAAGTATTTCTAATTCTTGTCTAGATTATACGGGAAGAATAAGGAACCTTTATTCTTCCGCAAATATATCCATAGGATTAGATCCATGGGCACTAAGTTAGGCGGCCTCGACGGCCAACGGCTGGGATCTTGGTTAGCTATTCAATTATTCTTGAAATTGGCTGCAAAAATTTGCTGATAACTTCAGCGTTCAGAGGCGGTGAGTCGTCTTGCTGGAAAAATATGTTTTCGAGTTCCATTAAGGGCATATCATCAATAAGGGGTTCAAAGCCTACTAGTTAAAAGTGGCTAACTTTGAAAAATTCTGTATTTCGAAGGGGATTATAACAAAATATCAAGTGTGCTATATTTTTGGAAAGGTAATTTTAAATTCCATTCAGTTAATTAAAAATATAGAGGGTGTCCCAAATAAAAAATCAATTTTTCTGTTGATAACTCTTCAATTATTAATTTTAAAAAAATTATACTTAAACCATTAAATTCTACGTAAAAAGGTGATTTGAAAATGTTTTCATAGAAATACAAAATTTTCCATATTAAAAAAGTTACAGCGACTTGTTAAAAATGGATATTTTTGAAAAACACCCTGTAACTCCGAAACGGTAACAGATATTGATGTGCGATTTTCACCATCATATTTTTGATGAAAATTGAGCTCCAGACACCGATATAAGTTTTCGTCTATCTTCTATAGAAAAGAGCGTTTCCATTTAAAAGGGTCGAATTTGACCCACCCTGTACAGGGTGGCGCCTCTCATACGCCGCGGAGGCTCCTAGGAGAACGACAGTTTGTTTTTGAACGACAAAATGGTTTTTGACATATTTAACATTTTCTAGAAATAAAGAACAATTTTTAAATTATCGTAATTTAAAAATTGTTAAAAAAAGCTATTTAAATTGGAATTTACTCTGGTAGTTGTTATCGAAATTTAAAATTTACTCTTTATTTTCACAAAATGTGAAATATGTCAAAAACCTTAGATTTTAGGTATATGCTTCTTTAATAAAACTCACCTTTATTTCTTTCCTAGAATCCTATAATCAGTTAATATATAGGGTGTTCCATTAGAAAAAAACACAACTTTGATGTGTAACTTTTTTGGGGGACATCCTGTATAATTCTATATATTTTTATAAAATGCAAATTTTCAATTAACCTACATATGCTCAGTGGCGTAGGGACAAATTATGGCCCCCCGCGAAATTTGATTGAATTCCCGTTTTGGGAATTATTCTATATTTATATTATTTTATTCCCGGACCTCAGAGGTTTCGGGCCCTCTTTGGGCCTGAGCCCCTCCGCAGCAGCGGGGGTTTGCGGTACCTAGTAGCGCTTTGCCACTGCATATGCTGCCAAAATTACTGCCCCTTTATTTTGATATAAACTACCGTTCTCCTTGGAGCTTCCGCGGCGTATGAGAGGCGCCACCCTGTATATTGTATCCTAAAATGTTAATTTATAACATACTGCTATTATGTACATGTTCATGTACATCTAATTTATCAATTCAAAAAATCAATTTAGAACGGAACAGGTAAAACATGTTAAAATTTTATAGGTATCTGATTTTGGGAAAAATGTTTTTTTTTAATAAGTTACTTACAAATCTTGCCACGAATCTTCTTTGGTTTAGTTTCTGGGAATTCCCAGGCAAGATCAAGTCCATCGAATCCATAATTTTTCACTAGGTCTTGCGCTGAATTGGCAAAGGCTAAACGGTTCTCTACAGATTCAAGCTACGAAAAAAAGTTAAACGTAAAAAATACTCAAATCCAATTTATACAAGAATTTTTTTAAATAGGTATGTATTATGAATTGTTACTGCGACATAGGGTATTTCACTAAAAAATAGTAGGTTAAACGTTTGCATTACAACCGGAACGTTGCTGGAACCGTTACGTTACAAACGGAACTAAAAACGACAGTGTTGCCAGATTAAAATCTGTAATACGTTTGACAAAAAAAATCATTCGTGTTAAACATAGAATAAACAACAAAAATAAATATACTAAATATAAAATATTTCTATCCTGAATTATTTTTAATTTCATGTAAAAGAACACATGAAACAAAAAGCAATGTCTTTTCATTAAATTTAGGTTTAATCATAATATTTCTTTATTATTATAATTATATCGCCCGCTATGGACTATGGGCCCGTCATGCGATGAAACTCTTAGATTTTAATAATACGGATTTTAGAAAATCCGTATTATTAACGTACCGTACCCAAAATCCATAAATCTACGGATTAATCCGTAGCTCCGGCAACAGTGTCTCCGGCAATTCCCCACTTTATCAACTGAAAGCGGAACTATCGTACAATATTCTCTATCCGTTGCGCTGTAAACGACTATCAGCGCATAGCGGCGCAGAGCTATATATTATTACTAAATCTCGAACATGCTGACGGTAACGCCAGCTACATCTCGGACATATTTTGTACCACGAAATCGCCCATAAGTTAGTCAGGAACTAAAGACCTAGTTCAAGGAACTATTCCACTGGAGGAACTAGAATTTCTACATCTAATGTTCAATACGTACCAATGTTCTATATTTTAAATTTTTCTCGCTACCCTCTCCAGAGATGTCACTACCACCTCCAACCGAAAGCAGCACCCTTAATCCGGGATATTTTCGTTTCAGTTCTGTTATTTGTCTGTAGTTTTGTTTATTAATGTCGAGAGTCTCATCCAGCGGACTAATCTTGAAGTTTTCCTCTTTGATGCCCGCATATCCATAAATCAAATGGGTGCAGAACTGAAGGGCTGGTTCGAGAAAAGGTATGTCGAATTTGCCGTTGCCTGCAAGAGAAAAAATAAATATATAGGGTGATTCATAGCGATGGCACGTTAGACGTTTATGGAGCACCGGTGGTGGAATTTTTTTGAAAATTTGTATTTTTACATAGAGGCGCCTGCTCCATCTTTCTAAAATATTTTCAGCATTACAGTGTTGCCGCATCATTCAAATGTGGTAGCATCTTTCTGATTTTAAATGGAACGCCCAGTAGGTATATTATTACATTTTTGGAAACTACTTTCATGTCTCATAATTTTTCTATTATACTAATCTAGACCTATCTCTAATAAAAAGAAATAAAACATGTGTAAAATTGATAAAAACATGATCGTCAATAAGCATTGGGAAAATCATGAATTAAACATTTTAAAATTTCAAATTTGGGTTATAAGTTAACGAAAGTCGATATATTCTATCTAAATAAACCGATTGGATATTACATAGAGAGAGCAAAAATATTATTTATTTCCGTTTGTTCTAAAATTACTCAAATCTTTGTTTTATTTCAAATTCAACCCTATGTACATTATTCAAGCAATCAAAAGACTAATAAAATTGCTTTTCAACGATATATCATGTTCCTATACCTAAATCTTCCGGTAGAAAGTAGAGCTTCTTTCTTAAGTAGAGCTATTTAAAAATTAATAATTCTATTATTACAGTTTTCTTTCAAGAATTTCGTTACCATGACAATTTTAGAAATTTAGTACGTAAACTCTAATAATTGATACTTATAAAGTTTGAATATTTGTCATGGTAACGATTTTTTAGCCGACCGTACCAATAGGTATGGTAGGCTATTAAGATCGACAAAAAAAGTTTTTTTTAATTTCACTCAAAATGAGTTATTTGGGTCATAAATGACCTAAATATAAAATATTTTCATGGTGTCTGTCTGTCTGTCCGTATGTAACACGATAAATCAAAAACCGCTAAACCGATTTTAACCAAATTTGGCACAAAAATACTGTGGCACCCGAGAATCTGGCCATTAGTTTTTGGTGGGGGTGGGGGTTGGTAAGAGGGTATAGGAGGGGGTTAAAAATTTAAAAAAATAGTAACTCCAAAATTACAGTAGCTAGCGAAACGCGGTTTTCAATTTAAGATTAGCAATAATATTTGGAACAAAATTTGTAATAATATCAAAATCAGTCAAAGTCGCAGTTTTTGAGATAAAAAAAATTGGAAAAAATCCTTTACTTTGAAACTAAAAGAACTGCCTACCAACTTTTTATTAACATATTTTTAGTATGGGCGGCTATACGTGCTTCCCGGCACCATTTTTTTAAACGAAACAATAATTATAGTAGAATTATTATTTTTTTTTAAATGACTTTAGTGAAAAAACCAGAAGGTTTAGGCATAGAGACATGATATATCGTTGAATAGCAATTTTTTGGCTTGCATTTAAAATAACAATAATTTGAACGATTTTATAACAAATGGATATAATTATTTTTTCTGTCCTCCCTGTTTGATATGCAATCAGTTGATTCAGACAGATCGAATATGGCGATTTTCCTTAACCTATAAACCAAATTTTAGCTTTCAATATGCCAAATTTATTATTTAACCAATGCTTACTCAAGATCATGTTTTTGCCAATTACACATGTTTCATTTTTTATCGCGAAAACTATCAAAGATTGGTATACATTATTTTCATATTCACAGAAACGAAGGATTATAAATACCAAGAGTAGAAAATATAAAAATAAATTAAATTTAACAAGTACAATTTAGATTGTTAAAAATTCATATAAATGAACTTGAAAAGGAGAACCGTTTACGGCTGGAGCATAACAATTTACTTAAATATGGAAACAAGAAGTAAATTACTTAAAACGCTACATTTCAAGGCAACATTTACAATTTTTTTGGTAAGAACCAATTCTAGAAAACAATTTAAAATTCTGCCAATGTCGAACATAGAAATTATAATGATTTCATTGAAGGTCAATGTAACAATACGAACATTTTATATCTAATCTAAACAATTCTGTAAAATACCATATACCACAAAACTCAATAATACTTAAAAATAAACAGAATCTACAATGATGTATGAAATGAATCATCATAGTTACTATTTTGCTTCTAATTGTTATTTTTTTTCTAAAATAACATATTTCTCAGTCGATTGAGTTCAATTGACAGATAATGTTAAATAGCAGACCTCTTGACCGATAAATATTGGAGATGAACACATGGGGACACGTTATTAGCCGTGGTGGGACAAGGTGGGGCAGTTGCCAAACCCTAGCTGTCTACTCCGTCTCTCAATATCGATATGATAAAATTGAGTGGAATTGAGCACATTGTTATTGAGTCTAAAACTTATTTGTTATTGAGTCTAAAAATAATACTAGACATGTTGAAAAAATATATACCGTAAAAATGCCAACGAAAGAGTAAGACCGTGTTTGTGTTGGAGCTGTGATAAACTATACAAGCCAATACAGGGTCCGGCAATAGTGCGTCGGGCATCTGTAGCTCCAAGAATAAAAAAGTTGGGAATTTTGTTTAAGTCCAAACCTAAAATATGGACGAGGATGTATTTCAGGAAAATATTTTTATTTCTATAGGATGGCTCAAAAAAGTGTGAGCTCAATCGGGATGATTTTTTTAAATGGAACACCCTGTATACTTGTATATTATTGCATTTTTGGCTTCCTTGCTGACCGCTTTACATAATCCTAAGATATGAGTGAATATATTTTGAGAGTTTCAGAAATAATTAATAAATAAATAAAAAATATACTTTTTTCAACCTTCCTTAAAAGAATTATTACAAATAGAAGAACTGTCCTGAAATCAAAACTATATTAGGTATTTACTTTCGATGGTCTATACTTAACTTTGCTGTAAATATCGTAATCTTAAATCATACAGGGTGTTCAAGATTCTACGCCAAACTTAATAAAATATTAAATATTTTTTTTAAATGGAACACCCTGTATATTATATTTTCAATAGACGGAGAATTAATAAATGAACATTTTTTTTTATTTAGAGTTTAATATAATTTTATTTCAAAATCTTTAATAGTTCGGCAGATATACGCAGTATTATTTCATATGGCTCTTTCAACTTCAACCGTAAAATATGAGAGCAATATCATTGGGTAGCTTTGATAAAAATTTACTGTGGAAAATGCTATATGAAATTATGAAACCGCGAATATCTGCCAAACCGTTAAAAATTATGAAATACTTTAAATACAAAAAATGTTCATTTTTTTAATTCCCCATCTATTAAATATAAAAAAGTAGAGGGTGTTTTATTTAAAAAACCGAAGAAAAATTAATTTATATTTTAGAAAGTTTGGCGTAGACTTTTGAACATCCTGTATGCTGTATGATTTACGAATGCCAAAATTATAGCAAAGTAAGTACAGACCATTTAAAGTAAGACAGTTTTCAAGACAGTTCTTATATTTTTAATAATTATTTTAAGAAAGGCTGAAAAATGTATATTTTTTATTTATTTATTAATATCTCTGAAACTATAGAAATAAATATTCTCATACCTTAGAATTATATAAAGTGATCTGAAAGGAAGCCAAAAATGCAATAATATACAGTGCAAATCTAAACATACTTTAGATTTCCACTTATATACAAAATTCCTAAGTTTTTTATTCCAGGAGCTACAGATGCCCTACGCACTATTGCCGGACCTTGTATACTAGCGAAGCAATGAAATAAAATACATTTTTTAGTGCAACGGCACTTTTTTATATATCATTGATACAATAGCAGCGATAAATACAAAAATGTTCATTTTTAATTTCCCCATCTATTAAATCAAAATGTAGATTTTCTTTGCCTTTATTCTCTTTACCGGGTGCTTCTCAAAAAGTGGGTCACTCCTATAACTTTTTATTTTTTCATATAATATAAAAAAATGAAAATTTGGTACATTAGTATATGACATAAATCAGATTGACTGACTTACTAGTTGTTTTCAGTCACTTCCTGTTTCACTGGAAATGACTAGAGCTTTTGATTTTTAAAAAGGCACCCTCGGTATTTTTTACATGATTCGATGCGAGAAAAAAAAAGGCACGCTGAATGGAATGACATATCATATATGTCAACTTTTTTGACATTCTCACTTAAAAAAATCGTATTTTAAATTTCAATCTAGAGCTATGGCTGTGTTAAAAGCACTAATTTTTAATCAAGGAGGAAAGAGATTTGATCGTCTAATGTTTTTTCGTGTCTTGTCCTGGCCGGTTAAAAAGATGTCGTATTTTTTAATTTTTAATCATAACTCAACTTTTTCAAATGGAACGAGAATGGCTCATTAGCATATTTGGAAAAACGTTTTTAACGAATAATTTGTTACCACATATTTGGTATTTAGACACAAATTGTCGTTACATTTATGGGGCTCAAAATTGAAATTTATTTTTTTTTAATTAAAAATGTCAAAAGTTGATATATGATATGACATTCTATTCAGAATGTCTTTTCTATTAAATGAAGTAAAATACCGAATCCGGAACGAGAAATACTGTTTGACCAGCGGATCTGAAGCTACGGAAGGAATGCGAGAAAAAAAAAATCGATATTGCCACGTTTATCTATAAAATTGTAAAATTGCCAGACATGAACTATAAATTTAATATATTTTTATTATATATAATGTGTTTAGCATATATTCTGACGTATATTACTAAGGAATTTTAACGTAGTTCATATTGTTCGATATGTTTTATTTAACTTATTTCTTTCATTCTGTATAATCTGCTTATTATGAAAGTTGAAGATTTTTCAACGATATCATTGGCAAACCGGCATCGCCGCGCATGGCCGCCTATTCATCGAACATGATTGGCGAGAGTACGTCACAGGATTTGTTACCACGCGGTTGCCATGGCTTTTACGCCTTTCCTATTCGCTTGCTTTATCCCCCAACTTCACGGTCTCTCTTCTGAAAAGAGTAGGAATATTGAATACTTTATTGAAATATCCAGTGGCGGTGTCATTTTTTGATCA